GTACATTATATTAATGAAATCTGTTCATTGTACCAATGAATGTGTTCTTCAAATTAATGAACACTGTTTATTGATTTAATGAACTTAAAGTTATCGAGTTAATGAATTACTTTTCATTGTGTCAATGAAATCGTTCATCGGCTCCAAATTAATGATTTAATTCACTATATTAATGAACTTTTTTATTATATTTATGTCGACTTTTGGTTCAGTGTCTATGGTTACGGAACTAAAAGGGATGCAATTACAGAAAAAAATCCGGTGGCTCTCAAATTTTTTTCAAAAAAAATCATTTTCTTTTTAATTTCAAACTTAAATAACTCGGTTATTTTGGACTTATCTGAAAAATGGTAAAGAGAAAATATGTTTCTTTTATCGAGATCTACCAGCCCTGAAAATATTTGCACTTATTAAGACTCACCCTGTATACAGTATGTGTTTTCATTTTTTTCGCTTGTGTTCATTTGTGTTCATGTTTACGTGTTTTCTCTTTACTTGTGTTCATGTTAATTTTCTCATGACTGATCACTTACTAATTTGATATTATTTTCATTAAAAATCTCATTATTTACATCCATTTTACTTTGAAAAGCCATCCCTTACTTTCTGATTGAAAAACTGCACCATAATTGAACAAAAATTAGTCAGTACCGAAAAAAACGGGAAATCCCGGTTCCTAAGAAGGGCGGTACCGAAATTTCCGGTTCCGGATAACAGCTCCGGTTCGGGAAACCCTAGCGTACAGTGATGCCGAAAAAAAGTGGCAAAAAAATTATTTCTCAACTTACTACTGCATGTTTTAAAATTATTTTTGTTAAATGTGGTTGTCTAAGTATATAAGTGATGTTTTGAATTCAGAAAATTGAATTATGTATACAGAGTGTACTTAAATTGGCTGTAAAAAATTAAAAATGGGTTGTAAAAAAATTAATTATATTATTTTGTCTTTAATAGCATAATTTAATACTCTATTCTTTGTAAAGTTTAAAAAAAACAAAAAAAAAGTTTGTGTATATACATAAATACATAAATATACAGGGTTTTATTTTCATCCGCTTACAATAGAATTAGCATTTCGTTTTTAATATAATTAATCCTTTTTTCAAAACTAGTTACCTATTAGTATTACTTAAATTCAGCTTAAAAAATATATTTTTAGCCGACCATACCAATAGGTATGGTAAGCTATTAACATCGGCAATTTTTTTTTAATTTCACTCAAAATGAGTTATTTGGGTCATAAATGACCTAAATACAAAATATTTTCATGGTGTCTGTCTATCCGTCTCTCCGTCTGCCGTCTGTAACACGATAACTCAAAAACCGCTGAACCAATTTTAACCAAATTTGGCACAAAAATACTGTGACACTCGAGAATCTGGCCATTAGTTTTTGGTGGGGGTGGGGAGTTGGTAAGGGGGTATGGGAGGGGGTTAAAAATTTTAAAAAATCGTAACTCCAAAATTACAGTAGCTAGCGAAACGCGGTTTTCAAACTAAGATTAGGAATAATATTTGCAACAAAATTTGTGATAGCATCAAAATCAGTCAAAGTCGCAGTTTTCGAGTTATTAACATATTTTAGTATGGGCGGCTATACGTGCCTCCCGGCGCCAATTTTTTATATTCATATCCACGAGAAAAAAAAAAGAAAAAAAACTAAATACCTACATCTGTATATTTTATGTAGTGATCTATTAATGAAAGTAACACCAAGACATCTAAAAGCCATTTAATTTTGGTTATATTTTTAAATGTTCTATAATTTAGTAATATATGTAATTACCTGTGGTAAAAATATTACTTAACTTAGTAATTAATACACTTAATACTTTAAAATTAGGCAACATAAAGGGTATTTGTGGGAAAATGTTGGTCATGAAACTTCGCATTTATGAAGAAAAAAGGCTAATAATTGTAACCTACATCATATTTTTTGGAGCATTTTGTATTAGCTTACCTAAAATGTGATTTTAGATTAAGCAGTTCTTAATTACATCAAGGTCTTTATTGAATTTTTTCGTGATACCAGGGAAGTCAAAACTAGAATTACTATGAGGGAAAACAGCTGAAAACATTGTACTTTCTCAGAGTACCATCAGTTTTTAGCTAATTTATCACCAACGTTAAACGCACTAATTTTATTTAATCAAAATATTTTAGCTTCGGCTAATAATCTTATAGAAGGACGTGAGGGGAATCAACACATGATGTCTCCATACTCTCACGTAGAGTGAAGGACTGAAGAGAGAAATAATCTCATAAGCTCTAACATTTCTTATCAGGGATTAATAATGGGCCCTTTTTTATTCAAAATTCTTCACGATACTGAAAATAGCGACTATTAGAAAGTATTCGAGTGAAATTATAATTAAAAAAATACTTGTGATATTTTGATTTTTTGCCGCTATTGGGAACTTCTGCATCACTGTGCAGCGCTTCAAAGAAGCTCCGTATCAGGCTTTTGGTTTGAAACGTTCACTTCTATAATTTTTGTCAAATATGCCGTATGCGCATATTGTCAATATACAAAGGGACTCAATCATAATTTGAAACTAAAGTTATATATTTTTAAATGGACGCTATAGGATTGGATAAGGAATTTAAAAAGAAATATACAAATAAAAATTATAATTTTAGATGTTCATAAAAAATAAGCACTAGTTGATTAAAAAAAGTATACCATTAATATCACAGATTAATATTGCAAATTATATTTGATTCTCTCATAGTATATTCCAATTTAATTTTTTGAATATGTAATGCAAGCACTTTGTTTACTTACTTTTTTCGTCAAACTGCTTGAATCCATTTTTGCTCTTCATCAAATCGGTGTGAGAAACTGTGATTGCTGTGAAGCTATAACATGTTGTTTCGGGAGAGTTTAATATCCGGAAAAGTTGAGTTATTGAATGTTATTGCACCCAACAACGCCCTAATTACGCCCTCCTTTACGCGTTAACATTTTTTCGATAATTTTATTAACATGAACCAATCAGATTTGTACAAAATTTCAAACAGCTGTCAATTTTGAATTTTGTGCAAATCATATTGGTTTTTTCGACGTGTCGCTCGACAAATACGAAGTTCTGAAAACGGGGCTGTAAGAGTCTCAGTTTATTTTTCTTTGGTTCAGTGAAAAATAAATAGCCTTACTGGCGTACAGTAGTAAATTTAAATCTCTCGGGCGCCACCTCTGTTCTTTATAGTGGAAGAGGTCCACGTTTCGCCAATACGGGTAGCTTTTATACAGTGGAGATACCAGGGAGTGATGAAATGATAAAGATATGCTGACGCAAAGCCTTAAAAAAATATCTAGGAAAATCTTTGTCTAAAGGTAAAAACACAGTGGAGTAGTTCACCACCGATCAAACTTGAAAAAAATAATTTAGTAAATTTTACATTAACTTAAGCGTCAAATGAAAAATTCCCATAGGCACAGCAATTTATTATTATACCGGGTGCGTCTCAAAAGTGGCTTACCCCTATAATTTTTTAATTTTTCCAGATAAAACAATGAGATTTGGTATGTTAGTATATGACATAAATTAGGATTGATTGACATATTTAATGGCCTTCGGTCACTTCCGGTTTCACCGGAAATTTACAAATTACAAAATACGGCAATGGCACCAATTATTCTAGTGTCGGAAAAAAGTTTAATTGCGATGCCCCTCATAACTCGGTGCTGGATCATCTGAAATCAAAAAATTAAAAAAACAAAATTATATCATTAGATAATCGCTTTGCCCAGGTAACGCTGGGGGGGGGGTAGGAATTTCAATTTTTCACTTTTTGGGATCACTTTGAAGGTAAAAATCGGTTAAATTGATATTGTAAAATAAAAATTATTAACAAACTAGTTGAAGCCTGGCGCATCCGCCACGACATCAGAAAAAAAATACTAATTAAATGAAAAACAAAAAATCCGGCAACGACAGTTTTTAGAAGAACCAATTAGCTATCTTTTAGTAAAAAAAAGCAACTTTCTAGAGCAAGTCGTTACTTCAGTTGAGACGACACAGATAAATATTAGCATTTTATATACATTATGTAGATTAGAGAAAAAAAAATCTAAAGCCCCCCCCCAGCGTTACCTGGGCAAAGCGATTATCTAATGATTAACGATATATGTATTTTTGTTTTTTTGATTTCAGATGATCCAGCACCGAGTTATGGGGGGCACCGCAAATTTTCCGAGACGCTCCAAAATAATTGCTGCCATTGCCGTATTTTGCAATATTTCTCCATGAAAATTTTACCACAATATTCTTCAAATGTCATACGATAATGTAGGTACCGCTGGTACCAGTATGAATCCATCAGTATTAGATTTAAGGCCATCAGGTTTATTAAAAGCAAATGTAAGAAAAAAAACATCTATTATTGATTTTTTTAATCTCTCGCTTTGTGCGGTTGGTATTAAGGAGTATAACCGGGTTTTATCGATCAAGATTATTAATCCTTTACTCAGCCTTTACTAAATATCTTGTAATTATATGACAGGTGCCCAGAATAGCTGCCTTTTGTGCAATTCCTGCTAATGAGTTCTTTAGATTTAGTGTTTGTAAGTTGTTCATAAATCTCCTTTCAATGAGTCCGTTGCACGATATGATGAACGGTAATATTTGAACTTTCTTCAGTTTGTACATGCGTTTTAATTCGTAGCTTAGGTCTTGATACTTATTAATTTTTTCTGCATATGCTTTTCCCAGATTATCATCAAGTGGTACAGCTATATCTATCATTTGTGCTATTTTTTGTTTTTTATCAATAAGAAGTATGTCCGGTTTGTTGTGTGTTATTTCACAATGTGTTTGTGTATATTATTGATATTATTATTATTATTTCTATATTAATACTGCGGCTGGTTATAAGAAAATAAGGATGATTCAAAGAGGCGATCACGGTTATGCAACTCACAGTACACTCAGTTCTTCATATAATTATTTGGTTGCCTATCGTATATTTGGGTTTGGATGTTTATATATTCATCAGCTGTTTTTGACTGACACTACTGACAGACCGACATTCTTATCGATTTTAATAGTTGGTAAATTATGTTAAATGGAAAATAAATAATAACAGGGAAGAAGATAACTAGAACAATTTACAAACAAAAAGCTGATAGCTCTGCTGATAGTACGTAACAAACATAATTGTTACATATACGTATACATAATGCAAATGAAATAAGAAAAGTAGTAGTAATTGTAGGCTAAGAAGTGTAAAGATACTTTTTATTAATTAGATTTTTGCAAATAATAGAGTTCATTTGAAAGCTGCTGATTTTAATCAAAAATAAAAAAAGTCAATAAGGTAAATATTAATACTGAAATTATAATATAATAATGACAATTAGTTTTAGATTTAAGTATTAGGTACTATGAGTGGGAGTGGTAATACTCAAAACAGTAATGCTCCATTTCAAAGAAGTCAGTCCGCTGATTTTACATTTCCGCAACCTAGACACGGTTTATTAATGTCACATTCAAGTGGCACCTTACCAATGATGTCTTCGCCAATTAGCTTCCAAAGAAGAACAATTGAAGGGGCACATAATTTTAGGGACAGGTTTGTGACTAAAATGTTCATTAAATTATGGCCATATTATTAAAATATTTATAACTTTAGTTTCAACAATGCTTTACGTCAAATTGAACAACAGGTGGAAACTGCTCGACTAAGTGTAAGAAATAATGCTTTAAATCTAAGTGAGTTGTTATCAAGATCTTCTCAGTCTGAGGACAATGTCAATAACTCGAACGCCAATCAAGAACTTCCTCAGCAACCCACCTTAAGTTACATCACTATAAATCTGGAAGGTGTTGGTAATGAAGGAAACATTCAAGGAAATACCAGTAATAATAATCAAGGAGATCAGCATCAACCAAATGAAAATGTAGTCAATGTGTTTGTTAATAATGTGCCCCAGCATAATGTCGACTTACCTGAAAATCCCACAGAGAGGGTGAATTTTAATCCCGTCGAAGCACAACAGGCATTACAAGTAATATTTACAATTTATAGTTTAATGTGAGCTCATTATCGCATGAACGTTTTAAGGTTATACTGAAGTATGTTCCTTTCATCCTGATACTTCTTGCCAAAGCTGTCTATGATTTTCACGAAGGCATATTTATTCTTATCATACTGTTTGGTACTTTTTCCCATGCTAACACAACAGTTAAACATGAGGCACTAAAAAGGGCTCGGCGCAGTATTTGGACTTTGGCCATTGAACTATGCTACATATTTGTTTGTATTATTTCCATTCATTACCTATTTGCAGATGATTTACACAATTTTAATATTGTTTTAAATTTGGTTTTGATTAGAACTTTCAATCATCCACTTACAGTACTGAATTTATTATGGATTGTCACTATAACAGGTTGTTATTTACATTTTATACTGGAAATTAAAACTTTAGTAAAAAATATTTATAAATTTTTAGACTTCACCCTAAAACTTTTCACAGTAATGATAAAGATTATGCTTACCATGATGCCAGGAAAAGTTGTTGAGTTTAAAAAACGGGTAAGAATGAATTAAATAATTTCAATCCATTTTTATACAGCTTATAAATGATTTTAGGGGAAAATATATTTATTTATTGAAGCCGTTTCCCAACTGTATAGAAGTATTGCAACAATTCAGCCTTGGCTGTACTACCTACTGGAATCCTATCAAGGACCAGAGAAAATTGTTGCAGTTTTTCTCTCTGCCTTTTACATGATTTCTAAAGGATCAGACTTGATGTTTAAAGTGAAACTTCTGAAAACTGCATTTTTCAAATTACTTCAGTCAGTGGTAAGTTACAATTTACAATGTCAATATTCCATAATGATTTATAAAAATATATATTTTACCATACAGGATGGTTTCGAATTATATTAGGTCTATAATTACACAGGGTGTCCCATATTCCGTGGACGTAGAGCTACTACGTATTTATGGAATCAAAATAAGTATATTGAACACAATTTACCTCTAGACGGTCTCTTTGGGTGTCTATGTTTTGCTAAATGCTTTATCATTTAACATTCACAAAAATTAAGAAAAAGTACAGGAAGGGTGAATACTAGCCTCACCTCTACATACATTTTAGTATGAATATTTTCCAACCCCACCAACAACCAATTTTTTTTATAAAATGGTCCTTCTAGTATTTACTACATTTTTTGTCTCTTGTAAAAAAACGACATTGTTTATACTTTTTGAGGAAAAAATATTTTTGAATGTTATGACTTCCAAAAAATGTTTCTTCTCACATCAAGCTATACAGGGTGCTACAAATTCGCGGTACGAGCATTGATATCTCGGAAACCGTAATAGATACAAAGATGGTTAAATTGGAGCAAAGTTGCGCCTTGGGCTGTTCACCAAGATGCCATCAAAAAAGTTTTAAAAATTTCAAGGATTGCTGAGTTTTTTAGAAAAAACGGATTTTTTTGAAAACTAATTTTATTTTTTCCTGTCGTTACTTTTTAGAAAATCAAAAAACTAATTTCAGATTCTCATAGCCACTTTATTAGGGCTATCTGATAGTATTTTTAGATTTTACAGGGGCCAACTTGATTTTTTTAAATACGGACCTTCATTTTTTATTTCAGATTTTGAAAGAACTCTGTCTCCTGAGTACAATGATATGCCACACTTTATACTTTTTTTTTGTTTTGGGTGCCTTAACGGCAACAAAACTATTTAATTATTATTTAAAAAAAAGTCCGACTCTGTTTTTTTAAATTATTTAATCTGATTATATTCATTGCAACAATATTGATCAGTGTTAATTAACATTGAATAAGGAAAATTGAGCCAATTGAAAGATTCAAATAAATAATATCCAGATCAGCAATTTAAAGATATTATTTTTAAGTTTTCTTATTTTGAATTTGAAATTCTTAGTGTACGATCTAATAATTTGTATAATAAAATCGTTGTTATTATGAATAAATTAACTTCTACAAACTAGTTTCTAATACTTTACATAGTCTACATGTTCGAAAGGGTTACCGCCCTCCCTATTGCACAAATTTATTTTTCGTTCAATTTTATTTATAGCTTTTGAATAGATCTTCTTCTTTATACTTTTGAATGCATTTTGTACTCTTTATTGTAACTGCCGAGATGTGTTGATTTCACTTTTTTGTAAAATTTGGACCTGTCGAATTACTTGACGTCATCAGACGGTCCAGGTACCTCGCTGACCATTATACTGCTCTACCATTTGCAATCCATCTTCCGGGGAAATGATTTGATTGTTTGTATTACATTTTATTTATGTTATTTTATATTATTTTATTGCGTTTGATTTTCCGTATTCAACCCACGTCACTGTTAAGTTTTAAAGCTTATCAATATTGTAACGATGAATATATTAAATATTAAAAAAAAACAGAGCCGGACTTGAAATTAGTTTAAATAAATTGTGTCCAAATTTCCAAAACAAAAAAAATATTAAGGGTGGCATATCATTGTACTCAGGAGAGTGAGTTCTTTCAAAATCTGAAATAAAAAATGTATTTAAGTCCGTATTTAAAAAAAATAATTTGGCCTCTGTATCTCACAAATTATCAGCTGATTTGAAAATCTAAAAATACTATCAAATAGCCCTAATAAAGTGACTAAGAGAATGTGCAATTAGTTTTTTGATTTTCTAAAAAGTATCGACAGGAAAAAATAAAATTGATTTTGAAAAATATCCGTTTTTTCCAAAAAACTCAGCAATCCTTGAAATTAAAAAAAAAAATTTGATGGCATCTTGGAGAACATCCCAAAGCGCAACTTTGCCCCAATTTAACCATGTTCGTATCTATTATGGTTACTGAGTTACCAATGCTCGTACCTCGAATTTGTAACACCCTGTATAGGCGCATAAAATCTATTATGCGTTAATAATAATCTAGTTGTCGAAATAGTAGTTTGTCTACAAAAATGTCGATATGAAAATAGTAGTTTGTCGACAAAATATGTCGATAAAAAAATAACTAAATTTTACAGTACCTAATTATTATTCAGGTTTATTTTTGATTGATGGACAAACGAAGCACTTTTGTATAGAGGTAAATTGTGTGCAATTGACTTATTATGATTCAAGAAATACCTAGTTGTTCTATGTCCACGGAATATTGGAACTCTCTGTTCTGAATAATCTTATAAGTTTGCTTTGTAAAAAAAAATTCTCCAATTTTTTTTTCAAAACTATGAAATGTAGCGTTTTTTACAAGAAACAAAAAATATAGTAAATATTAGGACCATTTTACAATACAAAAATTAGTCGACGGTAGAGTTGGAAAATATTTCTACTAAAATTTATGTAAGGGTGGGTGTAGTTTTTATCCTTCTCATACTTTTTCTTGTGTTTTGTGAAAGTCAAATCTTAAAGAGGTATCAAAACATATGCACAAATCTCATTCAAATCGGAATATCGGCTAAAATATTTTCAAAAATGTATTTATTTTTTAAAGTTTGATGCCCTCTAACGGACAAACGAAGCACTCTTGTATATAGATAAATTGTGTCCAATGGACTTATTTTTATTCCAAAAATACGTAGTAGTTCTATGTCCACGGAATATTGGGACATCCTGTATACTATAATAAATATATTTTTTTAAATTTACCAATTATGAAGTATATTGAGTTAACACCTAATGATTTTTGTCGTAAATTTTGCTATGAAAGAGACGTACTATAATAATATGATGCAGACTATCTGCGAAACCGGTAAAAAGTGTTAAATTTTTTATTTCTGCCTGTAATAGTAAAGTAATAAAATAAGGCAGTGGGTTTTAATAGAACATTTTAACAACTGCGATAAAATAAGTTTTGAACATCGTGTACAATTTACCATCACGATATTTATAACAGATATAGGCGAATTATAGTAAACACCTAGTATTGTTTTGACTTCAGGACGTCAGTTTATATTTTTGTTGGTTTAAAAAAAAACTTTTAACCGCTTCCTAATGCAGGAGTATACAAAGTGATCAAAAGGAGTCGAAAAAACGATAATAGAATAAATCATTATGACATTTGTTGTCTATCATTTTAATACAAAAGTAAATTGAATAAATGTGTCAACTTTTGGATTTTGTTTGTCGAAATCGCCTCTTTTACTGAACAAACTTTAACAATAAATAAAACGTTGTGCTAAAACCTTCTACTAAAAGTTATAAAACAATTTTGAGAAAATAATGTTTTGGCCTTTATTATAAGAAGTAACTATGAAAAGTACTAATAATAAATGGTAAATTGATACCAAAGAGTAATATAATAATTTGCAGCGTGTTATAGGCGAAAAAATGCAACATTTAAATGAATATTACACTAAGGAATTTAGCCAATTTCTGGATCACAGCTTTAGGGCACAATGTATTTTCTGTCTCCAATGAGAGAGTACATATTTTTTGGGCAGATCACTTCCCAAGTGCCAAAAAAAGGAAATATACCAACATTTGAATTAAAATGACAGACAACGACCGCTATAGTCTGTCCAATGAGAAGATCCTTGACAGTGATAGATGTGTCTGCCATTTTAATTTCAAAGTAGTTTATTTTATTTTACAAAGAAATAAGTTGGTACACTGGAACGCATAGCAGGAAATTAATATATTTAAAATTTGACTGACAAGGACAAGTGATTACTTCAAAATATTGTGAAAAAAACTAAAAAATGTAATCGAGTTATTTTATTTAATAACAAACGGTATGTGTTAATACAAAACAAACAAGAACAAGACACCACACAAAAAAAAATATAAAAAAGAACTATTTCTTACTTTCAAGCTTTATGAAACTTCCGGCATTTATGATTATATTTATCAATATAACTTATGTACAAATACAAACTTGTAATATTCCGCAGGAATAAATAAAACAACATAAATAAAACAAACTATTTTATTAATAATAACATTTACCAAATTTTATATCTTAAAGGTTAATTAATTAACTTTAATCTTAATTTTTTTAAACCAGTAGGTACCTTTTGGCATTATTTTTCTCTGCAGTACTAAAATCCATTATTTACCTATCGTGTGATGTCGATATAGCTACTCCAGTTTTTAATATGTGTTTAGTATGGTCCTTCTACCATATTCGAGATGCACTTATCTACGACGAGATGGTATACGAACTTTATTGATGGTAACTTTATTGGTGTATAAGACTTTCTGCCTGGGCAGCGAGTATTAACCATAAACTGTGCTCTGGGTCTACAGTTAATTTTCACTCGATTTTTCCTCCACTTGATTTCAAAAGACACAAAACACACGTAATAACACGAATCAAAATGCATCATCTTCCAAAACGCAGTATTTGACTAAAAGTTGACAGTTGACACAAAATTCTAACCTATAATTTGGCAAGACTTTGACAAACGTCAAAAATCTAAAGGCGAGTTCATACGCATCCATATACGCATCGGCGTCCGTTTGTCGTTTATCGTTCCGTCAAACCAATAAAATTGAAATACGATCTGTCATTTTTGAAATAAGCCAATAAAACTGGTTAAAAACAACAAGAGATGACGCATGACGGATTTATAATTAAACTCATCCATAGTTAACTTAAAAATTATTAGAAACTTTTTTTAGTTATATATAGATTGATATTTGACGTCATCTGCTTTTCTTCTGTCATCGTCTGTCGAAATCTTACCTGAGAAAAAAAAAACAGAGTATACTGTCACAGATTAATTCAGTTAACAGACTAACAAATTAAGACAGAACGCTTCAATAAAAATTTAAAAAAAATTGATTACAAGACTTTTGCGGTCGGTTTTGCGTCTTGTACTATATACAGGGTGGCGCACCTCATTCGTCTCGGTTGATTATACGAAAACGGAAAGATGTAGAAACAAAATATTTTATGGGTATATGTGGGAAGACAATGTGCATAATTTATAATTATTTTAAAATGTACAGGGTGTGTCAGAAGTAAGATCCATACCAAAGTTATATGTTTTCTTATGGAACACCCGGTATTTTATTTCATTTTTGGATTCTTGGACATAAAATAAGGCATTTATTATAAAGGTTTAATATGTTTAAAAGCTTTGTCAACACTCTGTACATTACTTTTCAGAGTTAATTCTTGTGCTGACCTTGAAGCCAGAGAATAAGCTTTACTAAAAAATTTTATTGCTTAATTAAATGTATACAGGGGTATCAAAAATTGCTGATCTATTTTAAGTATTTATTTTACATAAAAACTTCATTATTTCAAATGTAACACTATGCATTTTTTAAATAAGTCGAAGCAGATTTAAATGCTCTTTCAAGCTATGTTAGGGTTTTCTATACTTATCTGGCTCCGATTTTGGATAAAAAACTATTTGTCAATAAAATTGTAATCAAGATGGCTGGTGCAGCCATGGCAATTTTCTAGTGACAACCGAGGCGAATAAGGTGCACCACCCTGTATAATCATACTCTATGTTTTTATATTACGCCATTTAAGCATATTAAGTTATTTTCCAAGAAAGTGAGTATGTTTCCTTTGATTTTCCAGTCCCTGGGAACCTCGCCAAGCAAAGAGCAAATCCAAACAGCCGGTGACCATTGCCCGATCTGCCACGACATCTACGACACTCCAGTATTGCTACAGTGTCGCCATATTTTCTGCGAAAGCTGCGTGTCCACTTGGTTCGACAGGGAACAAACCTGTCCACTGTGCCGAGCAAGAATAGTGGACGATCCATCTTGGAGAGACGGATCGACGTCATACTTTATTCAATTATTTTAAAAAGGGCAGTTCTGTGCAACTGTTTGTTTAGGTTCTATTTTAAACTGATTTCTAGACAGAATTTAGTTAGAGAGAGAATTTTGTTACATCAAATTTAAAAGCAGTACAACTGCTATGGTCAAATCTAAATAATTTAGTACACATACATAATACAACTCACACATTATTGTTTAAATTACAGAATCAAAGGGTTATTATAGGGTTGTATGTTATTTATATGCAGGGGTGGATGAGGAAGTGGAAACCGGCCTGGGAAAAACAGGCCTAACCGGCCCAAATCCACAAAAACAAAATGACCGTAACAAAGAAACATATTTTATTTATTAATATACAAGTAAGGGTGTTTTTTTAAAAAAAGCTCTTTTGCCTCCGGTTTAAAAAAAAATTAAATTGTCTTCATCAAAATTTTCGTAAAGACCAATATTGGGTCGGAGATCTGAATTTTTACTACAAAATGGCTCAGTTTTACAGGGTTCTACTGCTTTAGTTCGATTATCGATAACGCTAATTTGATCTTGAATAGGCTACGATTTTGAGAAACTTTAAGACTTCTTGATTCATTCAGTTCAGCTGACCCAATCCTCTGTGAAATACATTACTTTTAGCTTTTCGGGTATATACTTTCTTACACATTGTAGAAGAAATTCTCTCTTTTCTGCTACAACAGCAGCCTCCTCGTGTACACGTGCTTTTAACTGAATGAACCGCGGTCGCCATTAAAACTGCAGCTTTTTTTAGGTTATTATATAGTTCTTATCTCGAAACTTTTCCTCTATACTTTTCTACATTTGGCATCTTGTATGATAATGCCATGACTCAAACGAAAAAACCTAGGCAGTGGATATAAATGTGTTCTGATGTAATGCTATGTTACCAGTCCAAAATAAGAATATTTGGATTTTTGAGACATATTAATATTTTATTATCTAATCTAGTTTAAACCTTATTTAACTCTTCTCTGCTGTCTCAGTAATTTTTAGCAAATTCAATTTAGCAACAAACAACAATTTAGACTTGGCTTTTAGTTCTCAGACTTGGCTTTTAGTCCGTCTCTAATTCAAACTAAACATAGATATCTTTTCTCAGTCAGCCGCAGAGTTCGTGTCAAATTCGTCTGCCTTTTTACAAAGGGGAGCTCGAAAAATATTGCACCGAGGCCCCCAGTTGTCAATCTACGCTACCGTTTTCTTAGTATACCTACATTTAGATCGAGACTATTTAAATTTACCTAATGCTATTCATTCTTTTTCTGCTGCCAGTCAGTCATATTTATTAGCTATTAATAAAAGAATAGTGGGTAAAACTATACAGGGTGAGTCTTAAATACGTGCAAATATTTTCAGGGGTGGTATATTTCGACCCCAGGAACACGTCTATGAGTTTTTTTTGCAAAAAAAGATGTTAAAAATCAAGCATTTTCTTTTAAATGTTCCTGTATATTTTAGAAAACTTTTTAGAACTTTCTGTTCACCGCAAATTTTCCCACGGTATAGTTTCTTAATCTCTGATATTACGGCACTAAAAGAGATGCAAATACCGAAAAATTGAGGTGGCTCAATTTTTTTTAAAAATAAATCAATTTTTTTTTAATTTCCAAACTTTAATAACTCGATTGGACTTATTTGAAACTCGGTAAAGAGAATATATTATATTTATTTTATTGAGATCTACCAGCCCTGAAAATATTTGCACTTATAGACTCACCTTGTATAATAAAAATTTTCAAACCGAACAAACAACAGATGGTTATCAAAATTATAAGTGTCCCAGAGAAAGACATTTAACAATAGTTATTTTACAAAATTGGTGTTTATGTTTAAAAGCAACTGACGATTATACTGATGCAAATTGATTAGTTAGTTATGGAGTCACTAAGGATCTTACGTCACTTTAGTTAGAAGATTAACCATTTAATTTTTGCTAATCCAATCTTTTTTTGAGCTCTGATCGGGACCGGCCCACCGGTTCATCTTTCCACCGGCCCACCGGGAATTTTCCCGTTTTCCCATATCCACCCCTGTTTATATGTTATTATCAAAGGATTATTACAATGAGATCACTATAGGTAACATTATATTTTTCCCAAAAATTTGCTCATTTAGTTTTGGTTTGGTAACCTAAAAAGCATAGTTGATATGACCACGGCATATACGTGATATGACTGTGTATCGATTGTGTATCAACTATTAACGTTACTGACATAAAAGTTTGTTTCTAAGGATTAATAGTTTCACAAGGAAATTATTTAAAGAAAAAAATCGTACCTCGTATCCCACCATTTACACAATACAATAAAGTACTAAAATGTTTTTTCTGTCATTTAATTATTCCACCAATAGTAAGTAATATTTGGCCATTGATTTCAATGAAAACTACCTTTTAAATATTTCAATTAAGAACAAACCAATCAGGTCACATACAGGATGTCTTAGGTGGCAGAATTTGTGTCAGTATAGTCTTTAATCAAAAAGACAACGGCTGTTTTGTTAGATTTTGCATAGGTGTTGTTAGGACCTAGCGTATTGTTGGTTACATATTCAACACTTCATACTAATAGAGTGAATTATATTTTAGATACTTTTATATTTTTTTATCAAAAATTAAGTCTTACATCCTAACAACAGTTGCATTATAAGATGATATATTTTAATATTAAGTATTTTTTGGTGATAAATATATTATAAGTTTAACATTTAATTATTTTTTTAAAAAATATTATTTGAAATATTTTTGATATTTGCTTAGTAAAATTTAACTAAAACAATTTATCTCAACACAATAATGTGTTAATTATAGAAATTATAAATCTATAAATGTTGACATGATTACTCAAAAATTACACTAATAAGACTGTTATGTTATAGATGTTTTAAGTATAATACGCTTGTTTATATATGCAAGTGTATAACTGTAACTCTGTATAATTATAGGATATAAAAATAAATGTATATTTAATCTAGTTACAATAAATATATTAAAAATAATATCTTGCATTTTTCTTTTTGCATTATGAGATAAGAAACAGGAAATAGATACAGGTATTAATTACATAAAGTGCTTCTATTTAATAATAAGTTAATTACATTTTATAATTACAATTTTGAGACAGGTTGAAATAATTCATACTAAATAACTATTATTTCTTAATAACAAGACACATTAAAATATGTTGTCTTTTTGTCATTTTTTTAACTGAGTTTCCAGAGGATACTTATGTAACTTGTACTAATGATCACAGAGCAAGGATTACTTCCGTCAAGAGTTGAAATAAAAACATTATTGTTAACATCGCTTCTATAAATTGCAGACTTTCATACAATTTTTTTTTGTAAAACTAGTGTCATGACTAGATTAAATGACGATTGATAATATTTTATATTATATCAACATACAGAAAATGTCTTTTTTATATCTAAGCATACTAAGTAAAATAGACTAATAAATTGTTTGCCATATACAGAGGGGGAGTCACAACTAAATTTCATACACAGAGCATGAAAAACGCTTGTTCAAATGGAACACGCTGTATGCTAGATATAAAAAACATATTTTTGCAAATTTTGTTTTGTTAAACACATCTATCTTAAAATTTAAATTTAAAAAAAATCTTAAATCCAAATAAAGATATACAATAATTGTCAAAATTTTGAAAACAAAAATATTACTTTAAAAAGGTTATTACTTTATTTGTACCCAATATTTTTTTTAGTTGTTGGTAGGAAGCACAAGTAGAAAGAGTTTGCCAATAAATTGTGAAATGCTTATTCGTAACAAAAATTGAAAAGACGTCTTAATTAATTTGACAATTAATTTTTTAGTTGGCGAATGAGTAAATACAATATATTTATTTTACTGATAAAGATAGCAGTCGATCAAGAAGTCCATGTAGCGTTTATTGATTTGGAGAAAGCGTACGACTCTATTCCCCGCAGCAAGATATGGGATAAGTCTTATTAAATATCTCTGAAGCAGATAGACCCTTCCTTAAGACAATAAAAGATCTATATAAAAAAATGAATCGTACGTTAAGAGAGGACACAGGCTATCCAATCCAATTAATACCACAAAAGGATGGCGACAAGGATGCAGCTTATCTCCTCTGATCTTCAACGCTTACGTCGAAGTAGCCCTTAGGGAATCGAAGACAAAATGTCAAGGTATGGGAATACCTACTGGGGATAATACACTATTTACCCTGAGCTTTGCAGACGATCAGGTCGTGATTACGCAGGACTCATACGATCTGGAGTTTATGACTAAGAGGCTTTATCAAGAATACAACAAATGGGGACTTCAGGTTTGGTTTGGTTTGAAGAGTAATAATTTTTCGTCCGTACCTGTATAAAACTACTAAGTAAAAAAATGTACATTTACTACGGTTTTTAAAGTAAAAAAGATCTCTTGATTAAAAATCGCTACAAGTAATGGTTCTCGAGACATTTGGAATCGAAATTATCAAAACCTGTCATGATTGACATAAATTTTATTAAATATGTTGACTGAAATCATAAATTTGAAATGTTTTAGTGCCAAAAACAGAAACTGTTTTATCATCATTTTTTCGCAGAAAAATTTATGATCAATTTAAAAAATAAAATAAAAATTTCCGAAATTTAATTATTTCAGTCAAAGAACTCAACGTGTTTATTTTTTGTCAAATTAGAGAACAACGGCATACGGTCGAGTCGGCCTACAAACACGTAAACGTTTACGTACGCATGCGCATTTCTTATATTTTTTATCTTTTACATGTATAAAAAATAGAAAATATAAGAAATACGTATGCGTACGTAAACGTTTACGTGTTTGTAGGCCGACTCGGCCGTATGCCGTTGTTCTCTGACATGAATTGACTATTTCCATTCTATATATCTTGAGAACGGTTACTCGTAGCGATTTTTACCAAAAGAAATTTTTTGCGTAAAAAATCACGGAAATGGATATTTTTTTCACTCAGTAATTTTATACAGGTACGGACGAAAAGTTATTACTCTTCAAAACAGTTAAAACATATGTAGGTGGCGCCCCCTACAAAGAGGAGTCATATTGACATCAAAATGAAATTTCTCATGCCAAAGAAATCTCCCAGACATTTATTTTCATCCAAATATTGACGTTACTTCAGAAATTATCTGGAAAAAATCGAAATAAAAATGAAACTTCTACACTCCTTAGTATCTCCGAAACTAAGCATTTTAGAACATATATTTATGCGAACTTTTTTACTTTGTCTTTTTTTTATCTGTAAGATATGCTGCCGAAGTTTCCGGAATACAATTTCGGACCACCCTGTATTATATTTTACTGATGCAACTGCAAATAATCTCGATAAATGAAAAAAATACTTCAGCAGAGTGCTTCAGCATTGAATATAAAAATTATTTTTAGAACATAACATTATGCTTAAAATATTTCCAACTAAAAAATATAAATATTTGTTATTATACAGGGTGGTCCGAATTGTATTCGGGAAACTTCGGCAGCATATTCAGCAGATAAGAATAAGTAACAGCGTTTGTATTAATGTATGCCCTAAAAAGCATCTGCCTTCGGAGATACAGGGTGTATAAGTTTCATTTTAATTTCGGTTTTTTCCAATTAATTTCTGAACTATAGACGATTG